TGAGGCCAATCTTGTTCCTTCATCCACAGAAATTCTGGTCCATGAATCCATTCTGTGCAATTCATCAGCGTGCTAGAATTCACTCCTCTAGATGTCTTATCTGCCGAATTTTGTTTAGTTCCAACATATTTCCATTGAGACACATCTGTGTTTTCTCTAATGATTGATATCCTGTTAGCCACAAATGTGTTAAATCTTGTACATTCATTTGCAATGTATTTCAACACTGATTGACTATCAGTCCAAAATGTAGATCTCCCGAGATTCAATTCCAATTCCTTCCTCACCATTTTATCCACTCTAACAGCAAGCACTGCAGCTGTAAGTTCCAAATGAGGGATAGTGGTTTGCCTCAAAAGACCTACCCTGGCTTTGTCCTGCAATCACTCTTAGATAGCTTACTGTTCCATATCCATGGTTGCTTGCATCCGAAAAGTGATGGAGCTCTACTTGTGTAGATGCCTCTAATGCCTTGCATCCAAGTGGCTTCACACATCTTGCAACTTTAAAGTCTTTAAATTTCTCAAGATCATCAAGCCATTTTGTCCATTTGCTCACTGCAGCCTGAGGAATCTCTTCATCCCAACTCTGTTTAGACTTACATAGTTGTTGCAAAATTAGCTTTGCAGTCAGGGTAAAGGGGCATACGAAACCAAGTGAATCATAGATTGAGCTTACTATTGAAAGTATATGTCTTGCAAGTGTAAGGCTTATTCTTGATGGATATATTAAACTTGAACACGTCCTTTTCAGTACACCATAACAATCCAAGAGCTCTTTCAGATGGTAATGTGTCTTTATCTAGATCCTGATTTCTTAGCTCACTTGCTCTGTCTTCCTTTGGGATATTAGATCGCACTTCACGGTTGTTGCTCACCCATTTTTTGAGCTGAAATCCTCCTGCTAAACAGAGTGATGTAAGATCTTTCACTAATGATACTGCTTCCTTTGCTGAGGGAAGTGACTTCAAGTTTCACTGTGCTAATCACTTCTGGTGGAAAGTGATTTTTGTTATCAACAGCTTTTTGTCTTAGTGTAAAATTTGCACAGCTAGGAGATGACACTGCTCCAAAAAGATGGACCAACATGTGATGTTCAACAGGAGGTACACTGAATTCTCCATCAGGCCACCACAGGAATCGTAAGAAGTCTGCATTGGTCCTTGTGACTTTGACTTGATGAAACATAGCTTTTATATCGGTCATTATTATAGTGAGCTGGTCAAATCATCACCTTGCAAAAGTTCATCATTCAAAGATCTTCCACAGTACCTTGCACTGCAGTCAAAAAACACTCGGATACTTCCTTTTTGTGGATGGTAAACACCATGGTGTGGAAGATACCATACTTTTCCTTCTTGGCCTTTCAACTCATCAAGAGGAACTGCCTCTGCATGCCCTTTATTGATAATGTCTGCCAGGAATTCAGTGTATTCACTTTTGAACACTTCATCGTTCTTACATTTATTTTTCAAACTTTGCAAACCCTGGTCTGCAACTTGATAATTATTAGGTAGAATCAATTTTTTTTCCTGAATGGTAAGTCCAGACAATAATGTCCATCTTGCAGCTTCACTGAGTTCTGTAAAATTTCAATGAACCTTTAGTCCTCTACGGACATTTCTCGACAGAAAGAGAGTCAAGCAAGAAAAGAAATGTTTATAATGCATATAGAATTTAGAAAATCTGTTTCATAAACAATTGTGAAAGTTTTTACATGCGGATTTGTAAATTATATTTTTATTACTCCACCAGATTTAGTCATCTTGTTCAGATAGCAGATGACGCAATTCACATTTTGTTTGTTTGGCTGTATTTGTTTTAAGACTCCTCAGCAAGTTCATGCTAATCCTTGCATGGGATAGAGTGCATGACGAGTACATACCTATTCATTTAAGAAAATTATTAAACATTTGACTGAACTTTTTGACAACCTGTCAATCAACGCTGACAGGGGGTCATAAATCAGGTCATAAATCAGGTCATAAATCACCAATCTGACATATAGTGTAGGATACTACTACTGACACGGACACAGAAAAGTTTGATCCAAATGCTCATCCAAATAAGCATTCATACCATGTTTCCCAGAAGCAGTATCGTCCTTAAGATCATCAGCACCTTTCAAATATTCAATCTTTGCTGTGTTGGCAGCAATTTCTGCTTCAATTTCCAGCATATCTTTCTTTTTTCTAAACTTCTCTCTTTCTTGATCCAGTTGCTTCAATTCTTCTTCCACAACATATTTTTCCTTTAACACAGGAATTTAAATGAATTTTTTATTTCATATTTAACACAGCAGCCTTTGCCAGTAACACTGCTCTCTCTGCTTCTGCACAAATACAAATGTTGTGGATGACAGACTGGAGCTTGATCTTCTGGATCTACTAGATCTACTAGATCTGCTGCTGCTGCATACTGAGACTTTATCGTCTTTATCACTGCAGATTCCTGGTTCCACAGCAGATAAAATCACCTCTTTACTGCCAACAGAATCAGAATTTTCGAGGCTAAAAATCCACTTTGTTACTCTAGAATAAAATGCATTAATTTGTGCCAATTTAGGTTCATATCAACTTTTCATGTCTTCATTTCTGTCCTCTTCATTCAACATATCAGCATTTGCTCTCTGTATGGACTTGAATTACTCAAACATTGCATCTAATTTACTCATGTTTGCTTTTACTTCACCAACATGTTCCGTATCAGCCATTAACGTATCAATGATATTCATTCGTCTTGTGATGTGCGACATTTTGGCGGCTCTATAAGAACGCATTTGCGAGGCCTCTTGTTTCAAATCAATACTGAATAAACCAGTGTTCAAATCAGCGACAGATTCAGCCATCCTTTACTTAGACTGTTCAAATATCTTCGCACACAGTCAAAAGTTTATATTTCTTGTCCGTAATCTCATTTACGTGAGAAAACACGAGGATTTCAAACGGAAAAAAGTTAATCCATTTTCCAAACACTTCAGTTGACAATAGGTTTAGGGTTAAATAGGTTATCTGTGGATAGGTTTAGGGTTAGGGGATAGAAAATATTGTTTGGTCAGTATAAAAGTAATAGAAGTCTTTGAAAAGTCCCCACAATTCACAGAAACAAACGTGTGTGTGTGTGTGTGTGTGTGTGTGTCATGTTAATCAGACTAATCACCTTAGAGGCTACTTCATATATCTCTCAAATGTAACCCGTTGTAGAATCGCTGCTGTCTCTTTATGAATGAATGGAATATTCATGTCAGACAATGCGCAGTGAACATTCGGAGTAGGGGTGTCCTGGGACTTTACTATAGTGCTATAGGCCACATGCTCTATAGTGTGAGAGGCGAGCAAAGGTAACCTTATGTAACTGTTCGCCTTTTTTTCTTTTAGCTCCTTCCAACCACCTTTATCTTCATGTTTTTTGCTTGCCATCACGAGCCCACTCTCCTTCGCATCGGTTTTGGTTTCTTATAAACAAAAATAGAGTGCATAAGCACCCCCTTTTGTCGGCCGTCAACGTGACTTAATCTGACACTTTTTCTTTGATGATGAATCAGCCAGGCCGACGGCCGTTGGGTGGATGGCCGTTCTGGACTTCTCCAGAACGTCCAGATGGCCAGTCCGCCCCTGGTGGTGGGCCTAGCTCCATGGCCTAAGGCGCACAGTTTCAACTCAGATTTGGTTGAACCTCCTTATTGAAACGGGCCCCAGGGCCAGTATGTATATGTGGAAAAGCTGATTACGGTTTACATTTAATTCAACAATATCACTGTTAACATTACTCGTTTCCCCATGTAGCCTGCATGTAAGCAGCTTTCTCTACCACAAAGGAGATGGTATTGCTGTTTTACTTGACGCTGATGTACAGAACTAATACTACATCTGAGGAAGACATATATTGTTTTCGGTTGCTTAGTTTCCTTAATTTTGTATCATGGCTTGTGTGACGTTGAATTGTAATACTGGGGTTGCCCTCATACGTCACACTCCAGGATTCCCCAACGTCGCTTAACGTGAAAAACTAATACAGTGATATAAAAAAGACTTCAGAGGCAAGCAAATGCAGCCAGAAGAATGCAACGCATTGCATTTTCTTTATAATCACTTTTTCTAGTGCCGTAAAGTTAGTTTTAGGTTTGTTATTCGCTGGACATTCGATTTCATTTGCCACTGATCTATAGATGAATCATGTGTAAACCCTCTATGCATAAAAGTCCAGTCATGATGTTTTCATGCCAGATGTTTAAAGAAACAGTCAGATGGAGTAGAAAACGATGAACAAGACATATCTGATGCCTCATATAATTTCTTGTATCTGCACAAAACCACATTTCCCCCAGTCTACTGTATGTTCTGTGTATAGCACTGACTCAAGCACAGTAATAAGGTGAAATATTATTACAATTTAAAATGAATGTTTTAAAATATATTTTAAAATGTTATTGTCACATAGACTCTGCATGTAGACTTTGTTGTGCACTGTTTTCCTACTTTAGTTAATGTTTATGTTTAGCTGTGTATGCCTCTATTTAAGTTCATGCCTTTTCAGTTTGTGTTGTCCAGCCTCGTCTAGATACCTAGCTTTGTGTGAGATTTCCCTGCATTTATGTCTGCCTGAGAATTATTCTATTAAATACATTTGATCCTTATATATTTGTCTTTGTGCATATGATTTATGCTACAAGTTGTGAGAGTTATTTAGTCATGTGATGGCAAAGCTGAATTTTTAGTGCTGCGAAATATATGTAACATTTGCAACATTTTTATGGAAATTGTGAAACTAGATTCTTTGATGAATATAAAGTTCAAAAGAACAGCATTTATTAGAAGTAGAATGTTTTGTAACAATCCATAAGTCTTTACTGTCACTTCTGATCAATTTAATGCATCCTTGCTGAAAATAGAAGTATTAATTTCTTTCAAATAGATAAATACAAAAATATTGTTCTATCTTCTTAAGCGGAAACAGGTTTCCTTGATTTGTGAAATGTTGATTACTTCAACTGTACATTACCTTCTGTCCTGGAGGGCCCTCAGGTCCCTGAAACGAGAAAATGATAAAAAGGAGTTAAAATGTACCAAACTGAACCAACTAAACCAGAGCAATTCTGGATATGAAGGAACAATCTTCTACACTGTGATGTGCTTTAACTTTTTCTGCTAAATAACTAGTGTGACTGTTTAATGAGACCTGAATGGTATTGATATTCAAAATCAGTTTTCTTAATAACCTTGCCACAATGTCATTTTTCAATATATTAAACTGAGCACAAGAAAGTAGCTGTCAGACTCTGTTCCTCCAGCGTCTCCTCGTCCCTCGTGTGTGTGCAACGTGACAGTAGCAAACCTTTGGGATGTGTCCTTAAATCTAAGTCCAAAAAGAAAAGCCATTTCTTTGTCTGGTTGGTTTAAGCATAGACCCAAAAATGTGTTGGTGTCTGTTCGCTGGCAGGCAGAGAAACAGTCTTATGCAAATTCCCGCTCAAATTAACCACCTAATTAGCACAACAAAGCATTGCCACAACAGGGGTGTATTTCAGAAAGGAGGTTCAACAAACAAGTTAAAACTTGAACTCTGAGTTGACTTACCCTGAGATTGGAAACTGAGTTTTCGTTTTCAGAACAGCTGAACAGAGTTAGTTAAATCCACTCGGAGTATGTTGAGTGTATCTCTGAGTTTAGCGCGTGCACCACGACTATGAAAAGCCATGATCAATGAAGCTCAGAAATTACGATTCACCATGGCAACAGCACCCAACAAAAAGACGTCCACATACTTCCGAGTCAATACGTAACTTTAATTCTTAATCACTGTTATAATATCAAAGGTAACAACTGGCAGAATGGTAAGTTATTGAACTAATATTAACACCTCACGTGCTTTTAAAGCTTCCTGGTCATGACGTCACCCGCCTCTGACGTCTCGCCCCTCGATTGGACTGATTACACATATGATTCAGAGCTTGGTATCGCTGAAGGCGTTTCCCTAGCGTTTTCCGACGCAGCTCGAGTTCCCGAAGGGGAACTGGCAGAAAGGTAATTTGTTGAACTAATATTCATTTTCATGGTATCCCACGGGCAAAAAAAGAAAAGAAAAAAATGTGGCAGCAGAAAAAAATGTAACATACTTCAATCAGGTAAAGCTTCAAGCGTGAAATGGGTGTAGGCTAACGTTACACGACTTTACAAACATTTGACATTCAATAAATATCATTCAGTGTCTATCTATTTCAATGTGCAGCAGCTTTTTCCACATAGTCTAATGCTTTTACACATAATTAAATTATCTCTAATCCAACATGCTACATTTCTTAATTAGGGTAATGAAAAACATTTGACTTCTATTCAGCCAACACTGAAGGCAGATACTCGTAAAATGGGGGGAAAACCTGAACCAGCACCACTGACAGATGAAGAGGAGATGGCCACAATACCAATATTAAAATCCAACAGGAAAAAGAATAATTGTTGCTATTGTATTTGTAGAACATAAAGATTACCAAATAAATAGTGAATAATTTGTGTTTATTTAACAGCTGTGTTACGGCATATATCTTGCACTACTTTCATCTGGCATCCTTCCATTCCATACAGTAAACTGTTTCATTTTCAGAAGGTGCGATGGTGAGAATATGTGTAATCAATGCATCCAACCACACTGGAAATCCTAAAGGAAATTCTAATTATTAGGTTACTTAGAGGTTGCAACAAGATTTGATCAAGTGAACGCCATTTAAAAATGGTACCGTTTAAATAAATATGCATGTAGATATGTCAAAATAAATAAATAAAATAAAATCCTCTCCTGATGTAAATGTAACTCCCCGCGAATTAATGCAGCTTCCTCATCTACAGGATCCCTTATATAAAGACATGCCATTTTTGTCACATTTACAGTGTCTGCATGATGAAAATTAAAGTGGTCCGGTGAGAAAAATAATCTTGTTTCCATTTTCATTAAGATTATTTCTCTTACCCCGCTGGTGATTAATTTTACTTGTTTACCCCAGTAAACAAGACTAAATATCGTATATATTTTTTCTTATATAGAAAATGCATCATGATTTAAGATTTTTTAGATTTTTGTACTTGAAATAAGGCAACAATCTCAGCAATAAAAGCAATTTTTGCAGCGTGAATGAATGATTGAGGTATTTAAACATTGCTTACACTTTAAAAAGGGGGAGGAGACCGAAAGAAACTCTGGGTTTACCGAAGAAAACACCTCTAACAACCCCTAATCTAAACCAGGTTTTGTCAACTCTAAACCTACTCTGAAACTTAGATTATGTTCAGCTAGCTTTATGCAACAGCCCACAGGTGGTATGTTAAACTCCGTAGCATCTCAGAGATCTCGAATCAATAAATTAGCAGCCCAGAAGCATAATCAGCATAATCATAATGAGACATAATCAGTCAAAAGCTACTGACATGCCAGTCTTGTTGTGTTCCAGCTGTTGTTCTTACCTTTTTTATGACTGTAATAATGCCATATTGTCTTACTTTTAATGACACATTCATCTTTTAATTATGACATTACCTCTAGTAAAAAGTCATTATGCACTCAATAAATAATTTGTTTGTCTAACTAAATAAAATTATGCCACCTATTTCCACACAGCTGAACTGATTTATTTGCACATAAATTAGGTTAACTGTCCTGACGAGTAAAATTCATGATAATTTAATGAGATCACACCAATTTCATTTGACATATTCTGTGAATGTTCCCTGAACATAGTTCACTCTTGTTGATCCAACCAGTGCTGTTGCTGTTCAGACTTGGTGCCCTTTTGCAGAGTTGCACGAGTTCACTGCATTTTCATGAAAATGTAAAGACGTGTTAGAGCTTGTGTTTAATATTTAGCTATTTTGAACATTTAGGAGTTTATAAGCCGAATCACAGCCGTGCTGATATACAGCCATATCTCACGTCTACGAGTGTGATATTGTGTTTATACAACAGTTGGATGGCATGAGTGTGTAAATACACGTCATGTAATGTCATGTCTTTAAAAGCCCTCTTCAGGAGTTCACCCTTACATCTAATCTGATAGCAAAGAGTAAGCATATTTTGGCGTGCTGTCCTGGGGGAGGGCTCCGAGCCCGGAATATAGCCCGAACCCAGAGAACTCCCCCTATCCCTAATATGGGATGAAAATAGATTAGGAGTGAGGAGTTGGGGTGGAGGAGGGATGCTGGAAAACTGTTGTAGGACAGAGGTAGGTAGGCTGCATATATATATACGTATTGTGCTAGTTAGGATGGTTAGCTAAACAAGTTTCACCTGCACCACACTGTTTGATTATCTGATCGCGCTCCTCCCGAACCTTGTTAATAAAACATAATTTCACGAGTTCACCCTTACATCAAATCTAATAGCAAATAGTAAGCATATTTTGGCGTGCTGTCCTGGGGGAGGGCTCAAAGAACTCCCCAAAAGAAGCTTAAAGGCATGGGACAGCAGCCAGAGAGCAAAAGTTTTTAGTTGCCCCCCAAAATATGCATGCTGTGAAGAGATATGGGTTAAAATTTGCAGGGCTACCGGGAGAGCCCGTGCAGTGCTCGACGGGAGCTGCGGCTTGCAGCGTTGGACTGGCAAGCCCTACATGCCGCTAGAAGAGGAGCAAGATGGCAGATATCAAATGAGGGAATCTCGCTGCGTCCGAAGGGAGCTCCGGCTCTGCTGCACCGGAAGGGAGAGTCCCTCTTGCATCGGAATACGAGGCGCAATTTGACGCGTCGGATGGAGGGCTCTCACTGCGACTGAAGGGAGTCTGCAGCACTGCTGCACCGGGAGAGAGAGCCCCGTCCACCCACAGAGTACACAGTGTAACTCAAATGACAGACAGAGGGCTCACACTGTGGCTGAAGGGAGCTGTGGCTCTGTTGCACCGGAAGGGAGAGCCTCGTCCGATGGCAAGGTGATTTGAGGCGACTGATGGAGGGACTCTCGCTGCGTCCGAAGGGAGCTGCGGCTCTCCTGCACTGGAAGGGAGAGTCCCCCTTGCGGCTGAATACGAGGCACGGTATGATGGCTCGGATGGTAGGCTCTCACAGCGTCTGAAGGGAGCCCATGAATCTTCTGCACCGGGAGTGAGAGTCCCGTCCGCCGCTGAGTACGCAGCGTAATTCAAAACGACAGACGGAGGGCTCACACTGCGACTGAAGGGAGCTGCGGCCCTGCTGCACTGGAAGGGAGAGCCCTGACCGATGCTGAATAAGCAAATAGATTCGAAACGACTGATGGAGGGACTCCCACTGCGTCCGAAGGGAGCTGCGGCTCTGCTGCACCGGAAGGGGAGTCCCCCTTGTGGCTGAATACAAGGTGCGGTTTGATGCCTCGGATGGAGGGCTCCCACTGCGACCGAAGGGGGCCTGCGGCTCTGTTGCACCAGGAGGGAGAGCCCCGTCCACTGCCGATTACACAGCGTAACTCAAAACGACAGACGGATGGCTCACACTGCGACCGAAGGGAGGCGCGGCCCTGCTGCTCCGGAAGGGAGAGCCCCGTCCGATGCTGAATAAGCAATGAGATTCGAAACGACGGCTGGAGGGCTCTCACTGCAACCAAAAGGAGCTGTGACTTACTGCATTGGAAATGAGAGCCTCCGATTACCCGAGTAAACAACGTGATTTAAAAGCGACGTAATTTTTTTTTCTGATCAGGGCTACATGGGCCTGTATCTGATTCTGTGAGAGGCCTTTTTGAGCTGCTGTAGTTGCTGCCCCGATACGAAATAAGTGGCAGGAAAATTTTTCTGCGGGTAAGCCTGATTAAGCGATGATCAGATTTAAGTGTTTTTGGAACCAAAAACGTGTAACGGGGTGGTTAGAGTCGTCAACGAAGAGAGGGTCCAGTGCTGATTTAGATTGAGCGTTCCTGAGTTGGAAATAAGAAAAGGGAGCCTGATAAGGTCGAATTGGAGATGGGAGGTTAAAAATGTATATATAGTGGCCTTTTCTTTCTTGGTCTGTCTTACTTTGCTTAATGAAGTAAGCGATAGTTTCGCTATCAAGTATGGATAAATCAGAGATGGT